ACCATATAAGAAGCCAAGCTTACCTTTCATAACGCAGCAACGATTAAACGTTGGGTAGCTAGCACAAAGATATTGTATTTAGCTACCACAGCCTGCTGGTAGTGTTGGCTGGCTAGCAATGGCTACTGTGTTGACTTTGTTTGAAAAACGGCGTCGCTGCGAACGAATGTAGCTGGCTAAAAGGATATTGTTTTTAGTTGCAACCGTTGCTAATAGCAACTCGCCAGCTAATCCAGGAGGTGAGTTAGCTAGCTAGCTTCGTGCTACATCCGGCACCGCCGAATACAAAAGTAACCTACAATAACTACACAACAGCTACCCACAACAGCCCACGATGCCTACCTATACTACTTAATAATATACAGCCCACGATGCCTACCTATAGTACCTAACTACAATCTAAATACATAGTTTAAGCCTTACTCGACAAAGCCCAAGCTATGTATAAAGCCAAACTGGCAGACTGCAATCAGTAGCCAAAATTAAGTACAGCAGCTACCAACCACCTAACGTTAATGATAATGAGGTTAGAAAAACAGCTGAAGGTGGCAGCTAGCTGGCTCAATTACAGGTACTCTTAAGCGTGAAATAACATTGGAAACAGCTAACCACAGTTTCTAAAAGTTACCGGTAGCTACCCGCTAGCTAGCTAGCTTTGTTGGTCCAAGTAGTGGGTTCGCCGGAGTCCGCCGAATACAGTCCTTACCTACAATAATTACCTACAATAACCTTCAATAACTACCTGAGTAAACTACCTATAATACCTAACTACAATACCTACCTACAATCTAAATACATGGTTTAAGCTTTACTCAACACCATATAAGAAGCTAAGCTTACCTCCTGCTAGAGAAAACACAACCTCTCCCATCAGCATCCCAGTCTAAATACAAATAAGCAATAGCTGTGTGCATTAAGGAAAAAGACGCCTGGCTCAAATAGAAGCCTGTCTCTAATAAGGGCCTGTAGTGTTCAGTGATTTATTTTTGTATTTGTACCCCCTTTTTCTCCTCAGTGATTTAAGCAAATAAACAGCCGGGCTATTCATTAAAGTTTTGCGGTAGCCAAGTAGCCTATGCATACCTGGCAGAATGATATCATGATTATTTCCACCAATCCAGTGGCCATTTGTTTTGCAAACTCCAGAAACACCTCTAACCAAAGGTGCCGAGGTGCCTGTACACTTGAATTAAAGGGTAACTACACTAAAAAATCTAAATGTATTAGATTTTTCACAGACCTCAAAAGTGGTCTCCTAATGTGGTTTAAGTATTGTTATGATACAAATGTGACTGAGAGCAAAAACCTTTAAAAAAGTGAAAAAATCGGAAACCTGTGAATTTCTAACTCCGTTGACAGCCTCATTTAGCTGTTTCAATAGTAGGCCTACAATTAGCCTACTTGCACAGTACAGCTTGGGTTGGCCTGACTGTGAAAGACCAATATGGGATTTATCATTTTAGGTAATTCAGAATGTATGTCACTTTTTCTCATAGAATATTTCACACAGGGCGCCTTTCCTTCGCCGGGTGGGTTGTTTGGGAAATGTTTTGCAAAATTAGAGTATATCCACTTCTCCAGGCACCACTACACTACTGCTCTTGGCCTTCATGGTAAATCTGCTGGGAGGTCGCTCTAGTTTGAAGTCGAAGTTAGACATCCATCCAGGTCCCAAGAATGTCTAGAATTGCCTTCAAAACCAGCCACTAGGGGCAACGGTGAGCGCTATTACCTTCAAGTAGGCCGGCGGCTTTTGCTAGGGCGAAGTGGACAGGGATAGTGGATGGGCGTAAAAGCTACGCTCCGGCGTTAGGTTGCGTGTTCAATCGCAGTGGTAGGCAATAATTGTTTTGTTTTTCTGTTTTAAGCCCTATCCAAATTTTTACCGTTAATTTAATCACTCAGAATAAATTCCTAAACGTAACCCTATTTTAACCCTATCCCAAACCATAACCCTTAAAAAGATGTGAAACCCCCAGCACGATGAGAGTGTTTTTGGTTTCAATTTGAGGAGTTAGGTAACAATGTCTCAACTTAAACGACCTTGACATCACCATAGATGTTTTGAAAAACGTGGACCAACGTCACATTTTGAAGTCAAACTGTGATACCTTGTTGAAATCTGAATGGACCTGTAGAAATAATAGAATTGGGATGTGTAGATGATGAGAGGTTTGAAGCTTTATGTTATTTAATTCCCCTGCATCAGTCCACCATAGCCATCATTTCACTTCTGTCTCAGTTTGGAGTTTATGTTTTAGGGGGAATTGTTTGATTCAAATGATGCCGCTGACCTTCATATTCTCCGTTCTCTTTATTCCAATTACAACTTCCAGTTTTCAAAAAATGGTCAAACTCGTAGAACTGGCAGTTGATAAAAGGCAACGTCCTCCAAAGCCTTGGAATAGAAATAGTGAGGCAAGTGTATAATTGTGAGTGTCACATAGTGAATTTAGAGCCATCACTTTAGCAGAACTCACCATCTTATCCCCAGGTTGATTGAATGAGTGGGTTTGTGGGTAATTATCCCGATGTGTCTTTATTGTTAGTGACATGCTGCAAATAGAGAAGAATTTGTCAAGTTTAAGTGAGACAGCTTTGGTCGTCCTTTACCTGCTGCAGTGGTTTCATAGCATTAGAAAAGTAGACACCCTTACATTGTCCTACCTACCTTGATATTGAATACTATGGAAAATGATAGTGAACTGAATACTGCTCTCTCCAGACAAGCAATATTTTTTAACAATTTAGATTAACTTTATAAGCAGTCGTAAATATTAATAAGCGTTTTAAACATTCAAGCATGACAAATTACAAGCATCATAGACATTACTAAATAATCTATAAACATTGATTTTGCTAAATGTTTTATAGGAAGGTACAAGGAGTGAGAATTATATGCTTCCATGGATGTTTATGCCATGACCGATTGCAATTAATTAAGAATGAATTCGATTATGATTAAAAATGGATTATGTGGAAAACAAAATAATTTAATTAAATGTTTAGAGGGGGATTTCCATACATAGTTAATTAGAGAGAAGGATATTAACATCTACTTGTTCTTATAGGTATCCAGATGTGTGTGTGTGTGTGTGTGTGCGTGTGCGCGTGCGCGTGCGTCACCTCTACATGGACTGGAGCCCTACATAGGGTCACAACTCTGTTTCTGACATTACCCTCTGTAACCTTCCCATTGTGTTACACTGTCACTTGTCCAGTGTCCAATGTGCTTGTAATACAATGAAGGTGCTTTAACAGAGGAGAGTGCATCATAGGCTACATCTACATGGCTTGTCAACCGCAAGCCCCCAGGAAGACTACTCTAGCAGAGAGTCAACAGACAGAGAGCCAATCTGTGAGCTCAGGGTCAGCATGAACATTGAACTCTATCCTGTATCAGGACAGAAATACTGCTGGCAGAGATACAGGGAAGCACATTCATACCCCAAAGAAACTGCCATCTTGCCCTACGGCACAAACGGGCCTACGGGCCGACTTCCATTCTGTTTTAGCTCAACCTGCCCTCCGAGTTATTCACAACAACAACAAAACATGAAGAGAGGTAGAAGGGAGGGGTAGAGATGAGAGAAGAGGGCAGAGAGAGGAGAGAGGGCTAGAGAAGAGAAAGAGACTAGAGAGAACGAGGGATGACGGGTAGAGGAAAGGTAGATCAAAGAGGGAGGAAATTGAGGTAGAAAGGAGAGAGAGTAAGAGAGATGACAGAGATATAGAAGAGAGTTTAAGAGAGGAGGGATCAGTACGGAGGTGATAGAGGTAGAGAATGGTAGAAAGGAGAGAAGGGTGGAGAGGAGATAAAGGTAGAGAGAGGAGATAGAGTTATAAAGGGAAGATGGTTGGGGAGGAAGTACTCTGTGTTGTCCTGAAGAGAGTAATGGTTTGAATTCAGGCGATGGAGGCAGACAGTGTCCCATCTCATCACATCAAACTGCCCATGTCACCTCACTTCCTCAGCAGTGGCAAAACACATTTCCTGGTCAAGGGGCTGTCCCATCACACACATGACACTTACGGGCGAGGTCATTGTTGCTTCCATCCTCCCATTCATATATATCCTGCCTGTTGGGATGGGCTATTACATGCATGGAAAACATCAGCACTCTAAATGATTAAAGAATGGAGCGTGCATGTATTACGAGTCTGATAACGCTATACTGAATTCCCCTCACTGCATAACCACACACGTGTGTTCTTTTATTTTACTGCTGCTCTTTAGTTATTTGCTTTTATTTTTTTACTTAACACTTTATTTTTATTTTAACTGCATTGTTGGTTAAGGGCTTGTAAGTAAGCATTTCACTGTAATGTCTACACCTGTTGTATTTGGCGCATGTGGCAAATAAACATTGATTTGATTTGACATGTGGTGATGTGATGCATGCCTTATGTGAGGCATGCTATATGTTGAAAGGATACACCAATGTTCGATACACTTCTGTCAGTCTGAAAGAAACAAGGATTGCATCTGAAATTACACCCTATTCCCTAGATGCCATGATTATATGATGGGAGTGGCCATGTTACGTGTGTAGCCTTGATTGATGTCCTGCTTGATGGCTAACTTGACAGGAACAGTCAATTTGAGCACATATTTCATATTGTCGATATAAAGTGGCAAGGAATATTTACAAGCAAGGTAGTCATATCAGTAGGCTTGTGAAAGATCCATAAAATACTGTTCGCATTCAGAGCCAGTCCACTGAATGACACATTTCCTGGTTAAGGTGCCGTCCCATCACACACATGACACTTATGGGCGAGGTCATTGTTGCTTCTATCCTCCCATTCATACATCCATATAAATCCTGCCTGTTGGGATGGGCTATTGACATGCATGGAAAAACATAATAAAAGATCCACAAAATACTGTTCGCATTCAGAGCCAGACAGTATAAACAAACATCAGTACTATGACAATCCACTGTATGACTAACTTCGACAGTATGTTCAATGAAAAAGCTAAGCACATATAGCCCCTGATGTGGGTGGTGGCTGGATTGGCCCCTGAACTGGCCTTAGTGAGTCCTGAATCTGTACACACACACACACACACACACACACACACAGAGAGAGAGGTTATGCAACATCCTCCTACATCAGATATGACTAGCATCACTACACTATTATCAGTCCATGTGGCTTGTCAATTATTCACTTTGAATCTATATGACCACAACTTCCTGTTGGTTCATTCATGTGTAGATTCATTAACACTTCCCCCTCCATTATGTCATAATGGGTGGTATGAAAAACAAGGCTGTTGATTACAAACACAACATATTTCCCCATTGTTTCTGCATCTGTTTTTGTACAGTACTTTATTCACACGTTTTATAACTAAAGGGAAAGGGAAAAGGTTGTCCGTGGTTGGAGGGGTGTTGTTCACTGTATTGCTCTAATACACAAGGTGAGTCACATGGTTAGGCTACCTTTTCTTCTCTCTCCTCTAGCTTTGTGGTGTGACAGGAGTGTGCATTTTTTACTGAAACCCAATTGGGAGAAAACCCAATTTACTTCTCTTATAAAACCAAGACAACGTCGTCAATGGATGAGCAAATACCCTGTTTATTCTTCTGTTCGGCAACAAAGACATTATACACTGAGTGTACAAAACATTAGGAACTCCTTCCTAATATTGTGTTGCACCCCCTTTTGCCCTCAGAACAACCTCAATTCGTCGGGGCATGGACTCTACAAGGTGTCAAAAGCGTTCCACAGCGATCCTGACCCATGTTGACGCCAATGCTTCCCACAGTTGTGTCAAATTGGCTGGATGTCCTTTGGGTGGGGGATCCTAGCAGCGTTGCAGTTCTCGACACACTCAAACCAGTTCACCTGGCACCTACTACCACACCCCGGCACTTAAATATTTTGTCTTGCCCATTCACCCTCTGAATTGCACACATACACAATCCATGTCTCAATTGTCTTAAGGCTTAAAAATTGTTCTTTAACCTGTCTCCTCCCTTTCATCTACACTGATTGAAGTGGATTTGACAAGTGACATCAATTAGGGATCATAGCTTTCAGCTGGATTCACCTGGTCAGTCTATGTCATGGAAACAGCAGGTGTTCTTAATATTTTGTACACTTAGTGAACATTAAAGGAGCTACAGTATATCTTTCATAAAATGTGTTTTAAGCGAGCACAATTCACACAATTTGATTGGCAGCTCCCTCAAAGAGAGCGAAGGAAGCACTGAATTAAACTAAAATGGTGTAAATCATTACAATTCCATTTGAGCAGGGATCTTCTCTCTATGAATAAGCATAGAATATACTTAGCCAGCTACCGCTTTACAAACATCAGTTCAGAATTGTAAGCTACCCCTGTGCATATACCCATCAATTCCACTTAAAATAACGTACAGCCTCTTAGAATAGTATCCAAGTACAGAAATGCATGCTGCTCCCATTAATAATTAGCCATGTCCTCCACTGAATACAGTCATCATCATACCAAAGAGTGGTTCCATGTCCAATAATAGGACTACTGTAACCAGTTAAACAGTTGTGGCGGGGTTTTATTGGTTTATGTTGACTGAGAGCAGGCATGTGGTTGGATATACAGTTGAAGTCGGAAGTTTACATACATTTTAGCCAAATACATTTAAACTCAGTTTTTCACAATTCCTGACATTTAATCCTAGTAAAAATTCCCTGTCTTAGGTCAGTTAGGATCACCACTTTATTTTAAGAATGTGACATGTCAGAATAATAGTAGAGATAATGATTTATTTCAGCTTTTATTTATTTCATCACATTCCCAGTGGGTCAGAAGTTTACATACACTCAATTAGTATTTGGTAGCATTGCCTTTAAATTGTTTAACCTGGGACAAACGTGTCGGGTAGCCTTCCACAAGCTTCCCACAATAAGTTGGGTGAAGTTTGGCCCATTCCTCCTGACAGAGCTGGTGTAACTGAGTCAGGTTTGTAGGACTCCTTGCTCGCACACGCTTTTTCAGTTCTGCACACACATTTTCTATAGGATTGAGGTCAGGGCTTTGTGATGGCCACTCCAATACCTTGACTTTGTTGTCCATGCTTGGGGTCATTGTCCATTTGGAGACCCATTTGCGACCAAGCTTTAACTTCCTGACTGATTTCTTGAGGTGTTGCTTCAATATATCCACATAAGTTTCCTTCCTCATGATGCCATCTATTTTGTGAAGTGCAACAGTCCCTCCTGCAGCAAAGCACCCCCACAGCATGATGCTGCCACCCCCGTGCTTCACGTTGGGATGGTGTTCTTCGGCTTGCAAGCCAACCCCTTTTTCCTCCAAACACAACGATGGTCATTATGGCCAAACAGTTCTATTTTTGTTTCATCAGACCAGAGGACATTTTTCCAAAAAGTACGATCTTTGTCCCCATGTGCAGTTGCAAACCGTAGTCTGGCTTTTTTATGGTGGTTTTGGAGCAGTGGCTTCTTCCTTGCTGAGCGGCCTTTCAGGTTATGTCGATATAGGACTCATTTTACTGTGGATATAGATGCTTTTGTACCTGTGTCCTCCAGCATCTTCACAAGGTCCTTTGCTGTTGTTCTGGGATTGATTTGCACTTTTCGCATCAAAGTACGTTCATCTCTAGGAGACAGAACGCGTCTCCTTCCTGAGCGGTATGACGGCTGCGTGGTCCAATGGTGTTTATACATGCTTACTATTGTTTGTACAGATAAACGTGGTACCTTCAGTCTTTTGGAAATTGCTCCCAAGGATGAACCAGACTTGTGGAGGTCTACCATTTTTTTTCTGAGGTCTTGGCTGATTTCTTTTGATTTTCCCATGATGTCAAGCAAAGAGGCACTGAGTTTGAAGGTAGGCCTTGAAATACATCCACAGGTACACCTCCAATTGACTCAAATGATGTCAATTAGCCTATCAGAATCTTCTAAAGCCATGACATCATTTTCTGGAATTTTCCAAGCTGTTTAAAGGCACAGTCAACTTAGTGTATGTAAACTTCTGACCCACTGGAATTGTGATACAGTGAATTATAAGTGAAATAATCTGTCTGTAAATAATTGTTGGAAAACTTACTTGTGTCATTCACAAAGTAGATGTCCTAACCGACTTGCCAAAACTATAGTTTGTTAACAAGAAATTTGTGGAGTGGTTGAAAAATTAGTTTTAATGACTCCAACCTAAGTGTATGTAAACTTCCGACTTCAACTGTACATTAAATAGAGCAGGTACACATCTCCACTGACACAGTAGAGTATTAATACATTTCTCTAGCTTTCCGGAGCTTTCACATTTCCTCAACAACCTAGGATACTGTATATAGATCAAGCGATGGCTGTGAACGTCTCTTCCTAGTCTTTCCTGTATGTTCAATGTACACCATGTGGTATAGGAGACATACCACTGAAAGATGTTTAGCTCATGGTTTAGAGATATGCAATCTGTTGTTTATGGTGAATTCTAATTGTTTGAGAATGAATACAACGACCACAATGCATTGAATACTAGTATTAATGTCCGTATGACCTTGAAATAATATTTTGGTTAGAATGTACATTTGTCAAACATTGTCTTATGCTGTCTACAGATGGTGTTGAATATTGACTTTAGGAAATTTTGGACTAGCTTATATACAGTGGGGGAAAAAAGTATTTAGTCAGCCACCAATTGTGCAAGTTCTCCCACTTAAAAAGATGAGAGAGGCCTGTAATTTTCATCATAGGTACACGTCAACTATGACAGACAAATTGAGAAAAAGAATTCCAGAAAATCACATTGTAGGATTTTTAATGAATTTATTTGCAAATTATGGTGGAAAATAAGTATTTGGTCACCTACAAACAAGCAAGATTTCTGGCTCTCACAGACCTGTAACTTCTTATTTAAGAGGCTCCTCTGTCCTCCACTCGTTACCTGTATTAATGGCACCTGTTTGAACTTGTTATCAGTATAAAAGACACCTGTCCACAACCTCAAACAGTCACACTCCAAACTCCACTATGGCCAAGACCAAAGAGCTGTCAAAGGACACCAGAAACAAAATTGTAGACCTGCACCAGGCTGGGAAGACTGAATCTGCAATAGGTAAGCAGCTTGGTTTGAAGAAATCAACTGTGGGAGCAATTATTAGGAAATGGAAGACATACAAGACCACTGATAATCTCCCTCGATCTGGGGCTCCACGCAAGATCTCACCCCGTGGGGTCAAAATGATCACAAGAACGGTGAGCAAAAATCCCAGAACCACACGGGGGGACCTAGTGAATGACCTGCAGAGAGCTGGGACCAAAGTAACAAAGCCTACCATCAGTAACACACTACGCCGCCAGGGACTCAAATCCTGCAGTGCCAGACGTGTCCCCCTGCTTAAGCCAGTACATGTCCAGGCCCGTCTGAAGTTTGCTAGAGTGCATTTGGATGATCCAGAAGAGGATTGGGAGAATGTCATATGGTCAGATGAAACCAAAATATAACTTTTTGGTAAAAACTCAACTCGTCGTGTTTGGGGGACAAAGAATGCTGAGTTGCATCCAAAGAACACCATACCTACTGTGAAGCATGGGGGTGGAAACATCATGCTTTGGGGCTGTTTTTCTGCAAAGGGACCAGGACGACTGATCCGTGTAAAGGAAAGAATGAATGGGGCCATGTATCGTGAGATTTTGAGTGAAAACCTCCTTCCATCAGCAAGGGCATTGAAGATGAAACGTGGCTGGGTCTTTCAGCATGACAATGATCCCAAACACACCGCCCGGGCAACGAAGGAGTGGCTTCGTAAGAAGCATTTCAAGGTCCTGGAGTGGCCTAGCCAGTCTCCAGATCTCAACCCCATAGAAAATCTTTGGAGGGAGTTGAAAGTCTGTGTTGCCCAGCGACAGCCCCAAAACATCACTGCTCTAGAGGAGATCTGCATGGAGGAATGGGCCAAAATACCAGCAACAGTGTGTGAAAACCTTGTGAAGACTTACAGAAAACGTTTGACCTGTGTCATTGCCAACAAAGGGTATATAACAAAGTATTGAGAAACTTTTGTTATTGACCAAATACTTATTTTCCACCATAATTTGCAAATAAATTCATTACAAATCCTACAATGTGATTTTCTGGAAAACATTTTCTCATTTTGTCTGTCATAGTTGACGTGTACCTATGATGAAAATTACAGGCCTCTCTCATCTTTTTAAGTGGGAGAACTTGCACAATTGGTGGCTGACTAAATACTTTTTTTCCCCACTGTATATGTCTTTGTCCCCCAAACTTTAATTTGGGGAATAACTGTTCCTTTAATAAGCAGGTGCTGTAGAGCATATTCCACATTATCCATTCATATCAACAGAATGCAGTTTACATTTAACATGATTCATATGTCTCTTCCCCTCCTTCTTCCCTCTTTCTTTCTCTCTCCCTCTCTCTCGTTCTCTAGTACAAACAAGTGGAGCAGTACATGTCTTTCCACAAACTGCCATCTGACTTCCGACAGAAAATCCATGACTACTACGAGCACAGATACCAGGGCAAGATGTTTGATGAGGAGAGCATCCTGGAAGAGCTTAATGAACCACTGCGGAAGGTAAAACAACAAAACACACCATCAAAACCCTGACAAGGTCTCAAACAGAAAAAATTGAACAAAGGAACCAAAAAGAAATTGATTTCTCTGCAAAGCTTCATCGTTGTCTTTTGTAAATAATCCCCTTAACAAGCCTCTTGCTTTACTAAGTCATTCAACCACACCAAATTAGTCCATACATATTGTTGCCATTTCCACACCTTTGCTATGTTAGATTTAGACCTAACAAAATTGCAATTCAGTAAAAGTCATGTTATTTTCCCTTAGGAAATTGTCAACTTCACTTGCCGTAAGCTAGTGGCGTCCATGCCCCTGTTTGCCAATGCTGACCCCAACTTTGTGACGGCCATGTTGACTAAGCTCCGCTTCGAGGTCTTCCAGCCCGGAGATTACATCATCAGGGAGGGCACCATTGGCAAGAAGATGTACTTCACCCAACATGGTGTGACCAGTGTCCTGACCAAAGGATCCATGGGCATGAAGCTCTCAGATGGATCCTACTTTGGAGGTATGGATGGTCAACAATATACAGTATTACCACTTTTCTATGATTTAGTTTTCTATAACTTTCCTAAGATCTGCTGCTGCTGGCAAACCTGGGATCAATAGATTCTATATTATTCTATTTTATTCAATAATGGTGCTAATAACCCGTGGTGTAAAGTACTTAGGTAAAAATACTTAAATCTACTACTTAAGTAGTTTTTTGGGGTATATGTACTTTAATTTACTATTTATATTTTTGACAACTTTTACTTTTACTTCACTACATTCCTAAAGAAAATATAGTACTATTTACTCCATACATTTTCCCTGACAATCCAAAGTACTCGTTACATTTTGAATGCTTACCAAGACAGGAAAATTGTGAAATTCACACCCTTATCAAGAGAACACATCTGGCGGACTCACTAAACACAAATATTTTTTAAATAATGTCTGAGTGTTGGAGTGTGCCCCTGGCTATCCGTACATTTTAAAAACAAGAAAATGGTGCCGTCTGCTTTGCTAAATATAAGGAATTTCAAATGATTTATACTTACTATTATTACTTTAACTTTTGATCCTGAAGTATATTTGAGCAATTATATTTACTTTTGATGCTTACGTATATTTTAAACCAAATACTTTTAGACTTTTACTCAAGTAGTATTTTACTGGGTGACTTTCACTTTTACTTGAGTAACTTTCTATTAAGGTATCTATACTTTTACTCAAGTATGACTTTTGGGTACTTTTTCCACCACTGCTAATAACATACACTACCAGTCAAAGGTTTGGACAAACCTACTCATTCAAGGGTTTTTCTTTATTTTTTACTGTTTTTTACATTGTAGAATAATAGTGAAGACATCAAACAATGAAATAAGACATATGCAATCATGTAGTAACCAAAAAAGTGTTAAACAAATCAAAATAGCCACCCTTTGCTTTGATGACAGCTTTGCACACTCTTGGCATTCTCTCAACCAGCTTCATGAGGTAGTCACCTGGAATGCATTTCAGTTAACAGGTGTGGCTTCCTGAAAATGTATTTGTGGAATTTCTTTCCTTCTTAATGCGTTTGAGCCAATCAGTTGTGTTGTGACAAGGTAGGGGGGGGGGTATACAGAAGATAGCCCTGTTTAGTAAAAGACCAAGTCCATATTATGGGAAGAACAGCTCAAACAAGCAAAGAGAAACGACAGTCCATCATTACTTTAAGACATGAAGGTCAGTCAATACGGAAAATGTCAAGAACTTTGAAAGTTTCTTCAAGTGCAGTCGCAAAAACCATCAAGCGCTATGATGAAACTGGCTCTCATGAGAACCGCCACAGGAATGGAAGACCCAGAGTTACCTCTGCTGCAGAGGATAAGTTCATTAGAGTTACCAGCCTCAGAAATTGCAGCCCAAATAAATGCTTCACAGAGTTCAAGTAACAGACACATCTCAACATCAACTGTTCAGAGGAGACTGTGTAAATCAGGCCTTCAGGTCGAATTGCTGCAACGAAACCACTTCTAAAGGACACCAATAAGAAGAAGAGACGTGCTTGGCCCAAGAAACACGAGCAATGGACATTAGACCGGTGGAAATGTGTCCTTTGGTCTGGAGTCCAAATTTGAGATTTTTGGTTCCAACCGCCGTGTCTTTGTGAGACGCGTGTGGGTGAACGGATGATCTCCGCATGTGTATTTCCCACCGTAAAGCATGGAGGAGGAGATGTGATGGTGTGAGGGTGTTTTGCTGGTGACACTGTCTGTGATTTATTTATAATTCAAGGCACACTTAACCAGCATGGCTACTACATCATTCATACTACAGTGGATGTGGTAACTAGTGACAACCCTTCAGAAAAGCAGAGTTCACTTCAGTGGTGCTGTGGGTTGGGCTGTGAGGTGCCAGGAGCATGGGCAGGTGTTGAAGGAGTGTCAGAGATCCACAGCAGCACACATGCCCATTAATAACAGCTAATTAATCCACAGAACACTGATGACAGAGCAATTAGTAACGTCAACCATCGGTGTCCAAAGCCAAGCCATTATATGCCACTGGGAAGCCAACCTTTTTCTACATAGCATGGGTTAGGAGGAGAATACTTGAATCAGAATGTCTGTTAGATTTGTGGTGGTATTTGTGATCGATTCATCTGCTATTGCTTACAATTCCCGTGTAGCTCAGTTGGTAGAGCATGGTGTTTGCAACGTCAGGGTTGTGGATTCGTTTCCCACTGGGGATCAGTATGAAAAAAAAAATATATATATATACAGTGAGGGAAAAAAGTATTTGATCCCCTGCTGATTTTATACGTTTGCCCACTGACAAAGAAATTATCAGTCTATAATTTTAATGGTAGGTTTATTTGAACAGTGAGAGACAGAATAACAACAAAAAAATCCAGAAAAACGCATGTAAAAAATGTTATAAATGATTTGCATTTTAATGAGGGAAATAAGTATTTGACCCCCTCTCAATCAGAAAGATTTCTGGCTCCCAGGTATCTTTTATACAGGTAACGAGCTGAGATTAGGAGCACACTCTTAAAGGGAGTGCTCCTAATCTCAGTTTGTTACCTGTATAAAAAGACACCTGTCCACAGAAGCAATCAATCAATCAGATTCCAAACTCTCCACCATGGCCAAGACCAAAGAGCTCTCCAAGGATGTCAGGGACAAGATTGTAGACCTACACAGGCTGAAATGGGCTAAAAGACCATCGCCAAGCAGCTTGGTGAGAAGATGACAACAGTTGGTGCGATTATTCGCAAATGGAAGAAACACAAAATAACTGTCAATCTCCCTCGGCCTGGGGCTCCATGCAAGATCTCACCTTGTGGAGTTGCAATGATCATGAGAACGGTGAGGAATCAGCCCAGAACTACACAGGAGGATCTTGACAATGATCTCAAGGCAGCTGGGACCATAGTCACCAAGAAAACAATTGGTAACACACTACGCCGTGAAGGACTGAAATCCTGCAGCGCCTGCAAGGTCCCCCTGCTCAAGAAAGCACATATACAGGGCCGTCTGAAGTTTGCCAATGAACATCTGAATGATTCAGAGGAGAACTGGGTGAAAGTGTTGTGGTCAGATGAGACCAAAATCGAGCTCTTTGGCATCAACTCAACTCGCCGTGTTTGGAGGAGGAGGAATGCTGCCTATGACACCAACAACACCATCTCCACAGTCAAACATGGAGGTGGAAACATTATGCTTTGGGGGTGTTTTTCTGCTAAGGGAACAGGACAACTTCACCGCATCAAAGGGACGATGGACGGCGCCATGTACCATCAAATCTTGGGTGAGAACCTCCTTCCCTCAGCCAGGGCATTGAAAATGGGTCGTGGATGGGTATTCCAGCATGACAATGACCCAAAACACACGGCCAAGGCAACAAAGGAGTGGCTCAAGAAGAAGCACATTAAGGTCCTGGAGTGGCCTAGCCAGTCTCCAGACCTTAATCCCATAGAAAATCTGTGGAGGGAGCTGAAGGTTCGAGTTTCCAAACGTCAGGCTCGAAACCTTAATGACTTGGAGATCTGCAAAGAGGAGTGGGACAAAATCCCTCCTGAGATGTGTGCAAACCTGGTGGCCAACTACAAGAAACGTCTGACCTCTGTGATTGCCAACAAGGGTTTTGCCACCAAGTACTAAGTCATGTTTTGCAGAGGGGTCAAATACTTATTTCCCTCATTAAAATGCAAATCAATTTATAACATTTTTGACATGCGTTTTTCTGGATTTTGTTGTTGTTGTTCTGTCTCTCACTGTTCAAATAAACCTACCATTAAAATTATAGACTGATCATTTCTTTGTCAGTGGGCAAACGTACAAAATCAGCAGGGGTTCAAATACTTTTTTCCCTCACTGTATGTATGCACTCACTAACTGTAAGTCGCTCTGGATAAGAGCGCCTACTAAATGACTAAAATGTCAAATGTAAATGTAATTCGTATTATTACTGGAGAAGATACTGTATTTTTGTCCTATAATAATAATAATAATATGCCATTTAGCAGACGCTTTTATCCAAAGCGACTTACAGTCATGCGTGCATACATTTTTGTGTATGGGTGGTCCCGGGGATCGAACCCACTACCTTGGCGTTACAAGCGCCGTGCTCTACCAGCTGAGCTACAGAGGACCACGTCCTGTTGTAGTAGGATGAGGGAATATGGAAAGAAGGTAGAAACAAGGTAATGTAATAGTTGATCAAAGATGATGAATTCAATGGGGCATTAGGGAAGTATACACAATCTCTACTCGACATGGCCCATATTTGCCGTAATTCGTTTTTGAAGGGTGAGTAAGTGGGTGTAGTAGGGTCTGAAGAGTCACATCCCAGCAGTGAGTTCTGCTGCTTGCCTCTGCATCGCTCGGCACAGCTGAGAAAACGGAGTCTCATTAATCTAGTGAAGAACTGTAAATCCCCCATTAAATAGCGAAGAGACACATGGCCGCGCTGACACTCAAGGTCACATTTTAATACCCTGTGAATAAGGAGCAATTTTGAGAGTGGGGGAGGGGGGCTGGGGTGGAGAAGGTCACTGTGGCTTAGTGACGAGGTTATTATGTATATGTATAACTCATGTATAGAACATCCCTTTGTTGCTCTTTAATGGTGTGTGGGCGTCTATCCCGCCGGTGGAAGCTGATCTTGACAGCACTTGTTAATTCCTCTATTTCCATGGCCCCCGGGGGGTTTGCCTACTGCTGGAGAGGCTGATATGTAGAGTGGAGCCATTGTCCGGTGCAGGGTTTCCACTAGTTACCACAGCCACAAAGGCGAAAACATAAAAATGTATAAAAACAAGTAAATTAATGCATACAGTAAATTACATTCCAGTGGGGGGTTTTCTTCACTGAGAGCCAGAGGATACCCTTCACATGTGACAGGGGAGCGAGGGGGGAGAGCCGGGGAGGCAGCGGAATTAAAAGAGCATGTGGTTTCCAAGACAACAGTCAGTCACAGGCCAGAGAAGGAAGGGTAACACCTGAATGAAATTAACCTTGGCTCCACCACCTCTCCAACCCTGCAGCTCCCTCCCTTCACTAAGCTGTCACAGCTGGGTCTTTGTTTTAACTGCCTATCTCCTCTCCGTATTTAACCTCTATAGCTATCCCCTCAGTAAATTACCCATTTCCACGTGTGATAAATTGATACTGTAGGATTGTGTGTGCTTTGTTTTTTAATCATACTATTGTACCCGTGTTTTATAAGGTTAGAATAACAGGAATAAATGAGTGTGTCATGTCCGAGTGACTTTTGTCATGATCATGACATTCGAATGGCTCATGTTTCTTTGACATGTTTCTGTAGCTGAGTTACAGTAATGATGCTCCCTCTGGCTGAGTAGTAATTGTGTCTGTCTCCTGTCTGTCTCTGACACTCCTGTCTCTCTCTCCCTCCCTCAGAGATCTGTCTGTTGACCCGAGGCAGACGGACGGCCAGTGTGCGAGCGGACACGTACTGCCGTCTCTACTCCCTGTCTGTGGATAACTTTAATGAGGTGCTTGAGGAGTACCCCATGATGAGACGAGCCTTCGAGACTGTGGCAATCGACCGACTGGACCGGATAGGTGAGACCAGCCTACCACTGATCACTGACCAATAAATAAGCCACTGACCGATACATGATTAGCTATGGGCATAGTTGAGGCATTTTGTGTCATTCATACAATCAGCAGAACAAAAACAAACATATCTAGCAATGAAACCTATTGTAACTATGCAACTAATAATTTATCTTTGATTTCCCTCGTTTTTTTAAATGTAATATTAACATTTTATAGCTATCTAAAGGATATGACATTCGCAAGATATGATTATTATCTAAAATGACTGAGTGTGCCATACTCCCCTGGGTTTACACTAAATGTGCTCTCAGGAGGAGTGATGCTCATTTGTGAAAGTGATTGCTCAGCACACTGTCTAAACAGCTGTCTATGCTCTCGTGTGTGGGAAGGAGGGAGTTGTTTTCCCTCAGTTGCTGCTGTTACCGCCAGTGTTGCTACGCTGTCAGTCACTCAGCTATCATCGGAAAGCACCTGGTTAGTGTATTCCGAGCCCTGAGTGTAAACATATCATAACATTTTACTAAACGGAGCAGGCAAGCCCCGTTCCTCTAAGGTCAATGTGATGCTGATGTCACCCCTCGTTCAAGTGACTTCACTTCAGATGTTTACAAAACGGACCCTGCATCCGCCACCTGCCAGTTGAAGTCGGAAGTTTACATACTTAGGTTGGAGTCATTAAAACTCGTTTTTCAACCACTCCACAAATTTCTTGTTAACAAACGATAGTTTTGGCAAGTTGGTTAGGACATCTACTTTGTGCATGACACAAGTAATTTTTCCAACAATTGTTTACAGACAGATTATTTCACTTATAATTCACTGTATCACAATTCCAGTGGGTCAGAAGTTTACATACACTAAGTTGATTGTGCCATTAAACAGCTTGGGAAATTCCAGAAAATGATGTCATGGCTTTAGAAGCTTCTGATAGGCTAATTGACATCATTTGAGTCAATTGGAGGTGTACCTGTGGATGTATTTCAAGGCCTACCTTCAAACTCAGTGCATCTTTGCTTGACATCATGGGAAAATCAAAAGAAATCAGCCATGACCTCAGAAAAAAAATTGTAGACCTCCACAAGTCTGGTTAATCCTTGGGAGCAATTTCTAAACGCCTGAAGGTACCATGTTCATCTGTACAAACAATAGTACGCAAGTATAAACACCATGGGACCACGCAGCCGTCATACCGCTCAGGAAGGAGACGCGTTCTATCTCCTCTAGATGAATGTACTTTGGTGCGAAAAGTACAAATCAATCCCAGAACAACAGCAAAGGACCTTGTGAAGATGCTGGAGGAAACAGGTACAAAAGTATCTATATCCACAGTAAAACGAGTCCTATATCGACATAACCTGAAAGGCCGCTCAGCAAGGAAGAAGCCACTGCTCCAAAACCGCCATAAAAAAGCCAGACTACGGTTTGCAACTGCACATGGGGACAAAGATCGTACTTTTGAGGGAAATGTCCTCTGGTCTGATGAAACAAAAATAGAACTGTTTGGCCATAATGACCATCGTTGTGTTTGGAGGAAAAAGGGGTTGGCTTGCAAGCCGAAGAACACCATCCCAACTGTGAAGCACGGGGGTGGCAGCATCATGCTGTGGGGGTGCTTTGCTGCAGGAGGGACTGGTGCACTTCACAAAATAGATGGCATCATGAGGAAGGAAACTTATGTGGATATATTGAAGCAACATCTCAAGACATCAGTCAGGAAGTTAAAGCTTGGTCGCAAATGGGTCTTCCAAATGGACAATGACCCCAAGCATACTTCCAAAGTTGTGGCAAAATGGCTTAAGGACAACAAAGTCATGGTATTGGAGTGGCCATCACAAAGCCCTGACCTCAATCCTATAGAAAATGTGTGGGCAGAACTGAAAAACCGTGTGCGAGCAAGGAGGCCTACAAACCTGACTCAGTTACACCAGCTTTGTCAGGAGGAATGGACCAAAATTCACCCAATTTATTGTGGGAAGCTTGTGGAAGGCTACCCAAAACGTTTGACCCAAGTTAAACAATTTAAAGGCAATGCTACCAAATACGAATTGAGTGTATGTAAACTTCTGACCCACTGGGAATGTGATGAAATAAATAAAAGCTGAAATAAATCATTCTCTCTACTATTATTCTGACATTTCACATTACTAAAATAAAGTGGGATCCTAACTGACCTAAGACAGGGAATTTTTACTAGGATTAAATGTCAGGAATTGTGAAAAACTGAGTTTAAATGTATTTGGCTAAGATGTATGTAATCTTCCGACTTCAACTGTACGAGCTGTTCATTTCACACATTTGGAGGAGATTCAGGTGTCTTTGGTCTTTGATAACAGGCTAACATCTAACCTGAACAGAGCATAGGGGAACACGGGAAGAGGAATATTCTGTTATATTTGCATGCTGTTTACCTATTTGCTAGGTTTACTGACAGCAGAAGTCTCCTGGATCAAAGGCTCAGTATTTTACAGTTGAAGTCGGAAGTTTACAAATACATTTAAACTCAGTTTTTCACAATTCCTGACATTTAATCCTAGTCAAAATTCCCTCTCTTAGGTCAGTTAGGATCACCACTTTATTTTAAGAATGTTTTTATTGGTTTCAAGCAGGTCACTAATGTCAATGCCACATAAGAAGATATTTACAGTGCCTTGCAAAAGTATTCATCCCCCTTGGCGTCTTTCCTATTTTGTTGCATTACAACCTGTAATTTGGATTTCATGTAATGGACATACACAAAATAGTCCAAATTGGTGAAGTGAAATTGAAAAAATAACTTGTTTCAAAAAATTCTAAAAAATAAATAATGGAAAAGTGGTGCGTGCATATGTATTCCCCCCTCTGCTATGAAGCCCCTAAATAAGATCTGGTGCAACCAATTACCTTCAGAAGTGTCACATGATCTGTCACATGATCTCAGTATATATACACCTGTTCTGAAAGGCCCCAGAGTCTGCAACACCACTAAGCAAGGGGCACCACCAAGCAAGTGGCACCATGAAGACCAAGGAGCTCTCCAAACAGGTCGGGGACAAAGTTGTGGAGAAGTACAGATCAGGGTTGGGTTCTAATAAAAAAAATATCAGAAACTTTGAACATCCCACAGAGCACCATTAAATCCATTATAAAAAAATTGAAAGAATATGGCACCACAACAAACCTGCCAAGAGAGGGCCGCCCACCAAAACTCAGGGACCAGGCAAGGAAGGCATTAATCAGAGAGGCAACAAAGAGACCAAAGATAATGCTGAAGGAGCTGCAAAGCTCCACAGTGGAGATTGGAGTATCTGTCCATAGGACCACTTTAAGCCGTACACTCCACAGAGCTGGGCTTTACAGAAGAGTGGCCAGAAAAAAGTCATTGCTTAAATAAAAAAATAAGCAAACAAGGCATGTGGGAGACTCCCCAAACATATGGAAGAAGCTACTCTGATCAGATGAGACTAAAATGGAGCTTTTTGGCCATCAAGGAAAACGCTATGTCTGGCGTAAACCCAACACCTCTCATCACCCCGAGAACACCACAGTGAAGCATGGTGGTGGCAGCATCATGCTGTGGGGATGTTTTTCATCGGCAGGGACTGGGAAATTGAAGGAATGATGGATGGCTAAATACAGGGAAATTCTTGAGGAAAACCTGTTTCAGTCTTCCAGAGATTTGAGACTGTGACGGAGGTTCACCTTCCAGCAGCAGGACAATGACCCTAAGCATACTGCATTTTACATTTTAGTCATTTAGCAGACGCTCTTAACCAGAGCGACTTACAGGAGCAATTAGGGTTAAGTGCCTTGCTCAGGGGCACATTAACGTCATTTAGCAGACGCTCTTAGCCAGAGCGACTCACAAATTGGTGCGTTCACCCTATAGCCAGTGGGATAACCACTTTACAATTTGGGGGGGGGGGGGGGGGTTAGAAGGAATACTTTATCCTATCCCAGGTATTCCTTAAAGAGGTGGGGTTTCAAATGTCTCCGGAAGGTGGTGAGTGACTCCGCTGTCCTGGCGTCGTGAGGGAGCTTGTTCCACCATTGGGGTGCCAGAGCAGCGAACAGTTTTGACTGGGCTGAGCGGGAGCTATGCTTCCGCAGAGGAAGGGGAGCCAGCAGGCCAGAGGTGGATGAACGCAATGTCCTCGTTTGGGTGTAAGGACTGATCAGAGCCTGAAGGTACAGAGGTGCCGTTCCCCTCACTGCTCCATAGGCAAGCACCATGGTCTTGTGGCGGATGCGAGCTTCAACTGGAAGCCAGTGGAGTGTGCGGAGGAGGGGGGTGACGTGAGAGAACTTGGGAAGGTTGAACACCAGACGGGCTGCGGCATTCTGGATGAGTTGTAGGGGTTTAATGGCACAGGCAGGGAGCCCAGCCAACAGCGAGTTGCAGTAGTCCAGACGGGAGATGACAAGTGCCTGGACCAGGACCTGCGCCGCTTCCTGTGTAAGGCAGGGTCGCACTCTCCGAATGTTGTAGAGCATGAACCTGCAGGAGCGGGTCACCGCCTTGATGTTGGCGGAGAACGACAGGGTGTTGTCCAGGGTCACGCCTAGGCTCTTCGCACTCTGGGAGGAGGACACAGCGGAGTTGTCAACCGTGATGGCGAGATCATGGAACGGGCAGTCCTTCCCCGGGAGGAAGAGCAGCTCCGTCTTGCCAGGGTTCAGCTTGAGGTGGTGATCCGTCATCCATACTGATATGTCTGCCAGACATGCAGAGATGCGATTCGCCACCTGGTTATCAGAAGGGGGAAAGGAGAAGATTAGTTGTGTATCGTCAGCGTAGCAATGATAGGAGAGACCATGTGAGGATATGACAGAGCCAAGTGACTTGGTGTATAGGGAGAAAAGGAGAGGGCCCAGAACCGATCCCTGGGGGACACCAGTGGTGAGAGCACGTGGTGCGGAGACAGCTTCCCGCCACGCCACTTGGTAGGAGCGACCGGTCAGGTAGGACGCAATCCAGGAGTGAGCCGCGCCGGAGATGCCCATCTCGGAGAGGGTGGAGAGGAGGATCTGATGGTTCACAGTATCAAAGGCAGCAGACAGGTCTAGAAGGACAAGAGCAGAGGAGAGAGAGTTAGCTTTAGCAGTGCGGAGAGTCTCCGTGACACAGAGAAGAGCAGTCTCAGTTGAATGACCAGTCCTGAAACCTGATTGGTTTGGATCAAGAAGGTCATTCTGAGAGAGATAGCAAGAGAGTTGGCTAAAGACGGCACGCTCAATAGTTTTGGAAAGAAAAGAAAGAAGGGATACTGGTCTGTAGTTGTTGACATCAGTGGGGTCGAGTGTTGGTTTTTTGAGAAGGGGAGCAACTCTCGCTCTCTTGAAGACGGAAGGGACATGGCCAGCGGTCAAGGATGAGTTGATCAGCGAGGTGAGGTAGGGGAGAAGGTCACCGGAGATGGTCTGGAGAAGGGAGGAGGGGATGGGGTCAAGCGGGCAGGTTGTTGGGCGGCCTGCAGTCACAAGTCGCAGGATTTTATCTGGAGAGAGAGGGGAGAAAGAAGTCAAAGCATAGGGTAGGGCAGTGTGAGCAGGACCAGCAGTGTTATTAGACTTAACAAACGAGGATCGGATGTCGTCAACCTTCTTTTCAAAGTGGTTGACGAAGTCATCCACAGAGAGAGAGGAGGGGGGGGGGGGGGGGGGGAGGAGGATTCAGGAGGGAGGAAAATGTGGCAAAGAGCTTCCTAGGGTTAGAGGCAGATGCTTGGAATTTAGAGTGGTAGAAGGTGGCCTTAGCAGCAGAAACAGATGAAGAAAATGTAGAGAGGAGGGAGTGAAAAGATGCCAGGTCGGTAGGGAGTTTAGTTTTCTTCCATTTCCGCTCCGCTGCCCGGAGCTCTGTTCTGTGAGCTCGCAGTGAGTCATCAAGCCACGGAGCTGGAGGGGAGGACCGAGCCGGCCGGGAGGATAGGGGACACAGAGAGTCAAAGGATGCAGAAAGGGAGGAGAGGAGGGTTGAGGAGGCAGAATCAGGAGATTGGAGGGAGAAGGATTGAGCAGAGGGAAGAGATGATAGGATGGAAGAGGAGAGAGTAGTGGGAGAGAGAGAGCGAAGGTTGCGGCGGCGCATTACCATCTGTGTAGGGGCAGAGTGAGTAGTGTGGGAGGAGAGTGAGAGAGAAAAGGAAACAAAGTAGTGGTCGGAGACTTGGAGGGGAGTTGCAGTGAGATTAGTAGAGGAGCAGCATCTAGTGAAGATGAGGTCAAGCGTATTGCCTGCCTTGTGAGTAGGGGGGGACGGTGAGAGGGTGAGGTCAAAAGAGGAGAGGAGTGGAAAGAAGGAGGCAGAGAGAAATGAGTCAAACGTGGACATAGGGAAGTTGAAATCCCCCAAAACTGTGAGGGGTGAGCCATCCTCAGGAAAGGAACTTATCAAGGCGTCAAGCTCGTTGATGAACTCTCCAAGGGAACCTGGAGGGCGATAGATGACAAGGATATTAAGCTTAAATGGGCTAGTGACTGTGACAGCATGGAATTCAAATGAGGAGATAGACAGATGGGTTAGGGGAAAAATTGAGAATGTCCACTTGGGAGAGATGAGGATTCCTGTACCACCACCCCTCTGACCAGATGCTCTCGGGGTATGCGAGAACACATGGTCAGACGAGGAGAGAGCAGTAGGAGTAGCCGTGTTTTCAGTGGTGATCCATGTTTCCGTCAGCGCCAGGAAGTCGAGGGACTGGAGGTTGGCATAGGCTGGGATGAAGTCAGCTTTGTTGGCAGCAGAACGGCAGTTCCAGAGGCTGCCTGCGACCTGGAACTCCAGGTGAGGGGTGCGTGCAGGGACCACCAGGTTAGAGAGGCAGCAGCCGCGCGGTGTGGTGCGTTGTTTGTGTAGCCTGTGCAGAGAGGAGAGAACAGGGATAGGCAGAGGCATAGTTGACAGGCTGTAGCAAATGGCTACAAAAATGCAGAGGAGATCGGAATGAAATGAGCTAAGCATCTGGGAGAGGAGAGAGGGGGGCCTCCCTCACCAAAAACTTCTACCTCAGAAACTAAAATTGTTTCACTGAACCACCCGAACAAAAACTCTCCCAACTTCCACCTTTAGAAATACTGCTAAAGTAACAATTGAGTGGTTTAAGGGGAAACATTCAAATGTCTTGGAATGGCCTAGTCAAAGCCCAGACCTCAATCCAATTGAGAATATGTGGTATGACTTAAAGATTGCTGTACACCAGCGGAACCCATCCAACTTGAAGGAGCTGGAGCAGTTTTGCCTTGAAGAATGGGAAAAAACCCAGTGGCTATATGTGCCAAGTGTATACATTTACATTTTCGTCATTTAGCAGACGCTCTTATCCAGAGCACCATGGTCTTGTAGCAGATGCGGGCTTCAACTGGAAGCCAGTGGAGTGTGCGGAGGAGCGGGGTGACGTGAGAGAACTTGGGAAGGTTGAACACCAGATGGGCTGCAGCGTTCTGGATGAGTTGTAGGGGTTTAATGGCACAGGCAGGGAGCCCAGCCAACAGCGAGTTGCAGTAATGCAGACGGGAGATGACAAGTGCCTGGATTAGGGCCTGTGCCGCTTCCTGTGTAAGGTAGGGTCGTACTCTGCGAATGTTGTAGAGCATGAACCTACAGGATCGGGTCACCGTTTTGGAGAGAAAAGAAAGAAGGGATACTGGTCTGTAGTTGTTGACATCGGAGGGATCGAGTGTAGGTTTTTTGAGAAGGTGTGCAACTCTCGCTCTCTTGAAGACGGAAGGGACATAGCCAGGGGCAAGGATGAGTTGATGAGCGAGGTGAGGTAAGGGAGAAGGTCTCCGGAAATGGTCTGGAGAAGAGAGGAGGGGATAGGGTCAAGCGGGCAGGTTGTTGGGCGGCTGGCCGTCGCAAGATTTCATCTGGAGAGAGAGAATGGAGAAAGAAGTCAAAGCATAGGGTATGGCAGTGTGAGCAGGACCAGCGGTGTCATTTGACTTAATAAATGAGGATCGGATGTCGTCAACCTTCTTTTCAAAATAGTTGACGAAGTCATCCACAGAGAGGGAGGAGGGAGGATTCAGCAGGGAGGAGAAGGTGGCAAAGAGCTTCCTAGGGTTAGAGGCAGAGGCTTGAAATTTAGAGTGGTATAAAGTGGCTTTAGCAGCAGAAACAGAGGAAGAAAATGTAGAGAGGAGGGAGTGAAAAGATGACAGGTCGGCAGGGAGTCTAGTTTTCCTCCATTTTCTGTGAGCTCGCAATGAGTCGTCAAGCCACGGAGCAGGAGTGGACGACCGAGCCGGCCGGGAGAATAGGGGACATAGAGAGTCAAAAGATGCAGAAAGGGAGGAGAGGAGGGTTGAGGAGGCAGAATCAGGAGATTGGAGGGAGGATTGAGCAGAGGGAAGTGATGATAGGATGGAAGAGGAGAGAGTAGCGGGAGAGAGAGAGCGAAGGTCGCGACGGCGCATTACCATCTGAGTAGGGGCAGAGTGAGTAGTGTTGGAGGAGAGCGAGAGAGAAAAGGATACAAAGTAGTGGTCGGAGACATGGAGGGGAGTTGCAGTGAGATTAGTAGAAGAACAGCATCTAATAAAGATGAGGTCAAGCGTATTGCCTGCCTTGTGAGTAGGGGGAGACGGTGAGAGGGTGAGGTCAAAAGAGGAGAGGAGTGGAAAGAAGGAGGCAGAGAGAAATGAGTCAAAGGTAGACGTAGGGAGGTTAAAGTCACCCAGAACTGTGAGGGGTGAGCCATCCTCAGGAAAGGAACTTATCAAGGCGTCAAGCTCATTGATGAACTCTCCAAGGGAACCTGGAGGGCGATACATTTTAAGGATGTTAAGCTTAAATGGGCTAGTGATTGTGACAGCATGGAATTCAAATGAGGAGATAGACAGATGGGTCAGAGGAGAAAGAGAGAATGTCCACTTGGGAGAGATGAGGATTCCTGTGCCACCGCCCCGCTGACCAGATGCTCTCGGGGTATGCGAGAACACATGGTCAGATGAGGAGAGAGCAGTAGGAGTAGCAGTGTTTTCTGTGGTAATCCATGTTTCCGTCAGCGCCAAGAAGTCGAGGGACTGGAGGGTAGCATAGGCTGAGATTAACTCTGCCTTGTTGGCTGCAGAAAGGCAGTTCCAGAGGCTGCCGGAGAACTGGAACTCCACGTGGGCCGTGCGTGCAGGGACCACCAGGTTAGAGAGGCAGCAGCCACGCGGTGTGAGGCGTTTGTATGGCCTGTGCGGAGAGGAGAGAACAGGGATAGACAGACACATAGTTGACAGGCTACAGAAAAGGCTACACTAATGCAAAGGAGATCGGAATGAAATTAACTAAACATCTGGGGAAACGAGGCCTCCCTCACTAACCTTTCACTGAAACACTCAAATACAACTCTTCCAACTTCCACTTTAGAAATTATAATTGCTGTAATCTACAGTAGTTCAATGTTTCCAGGAATAGACTAACTTAGTTTATTCAGCTAGCTAACTTGGTACAGTATTATTCTGTGAAAACCGCCCAGGGCACCGTATCCTATGACGCCATAACTAACTAGCATGCTAGCATCCAATAACACACGGTTTAGCACCAATACTTGGTTACAACAAACTACCAATGGATCATTCATGTCCGTGTCTAGTTCCTTTCATAACGCAGAAGTAATTAAACGTTGGCTAGCTAGCACAAAGTCAGTCATGCTAGCTACACAAATGGACTACACATCTCGAATGTGCAGAAAGTGAAGCTTACGTTGCAAAATTCTCATTGACTAAAATGATACAGTACTGCTAGCTGGTAATGTTGGCTAGCTAGCAGTGGCTGTGGTGTTGACTGTTTGAAAATGTAGCTGGCTAGCTAACCTCGATAGTTTCTCTATACTACACCTTTGTCTTTGATACCAAGACAACTATGTAGCTAGCTAACTTTACACTAATCAAATCGTTCCGTTGAAATGTATTTAGTTGCTACAGTACTGCTAGCTGGTATAGTTGGCCAGCTAGCAGTGGCTGCGGTGTTGCTACCCGCTAGCTAGCTAGCTTTAATGGTCCAGGTAGTGGGTTAGCTAGCTAGCCTCGTGCTTCACCGGGCTCATCCGAATACACTACAATACTTACCTACAATAACTACCTACAATAACTACCTAGATAAACTACCTACAATACCTAACTACAATACCTACCTACAATCTAAATGCATGGTTTAAGCTTTACTCGACACATACAGTGGGGAGAACAAGTATTTGATACACTGCCGATTTTGCAGGTTTTCCTACTTACAAAGCATGTAGAGGTCTGTAATTTTTATCATAGGTACACTTCAACTGCGAGAGATGGAATCTAAAACAAAAATCAAGAAAATCACATTGTATGATTTTTAAGTAATTAATTTGCATTTTATTGCATGACATAAGTATTTGATACATCAGAAAAGCATAACTTAATATTTGGTACAGAAACCTTTGTTTGCAATTACAGAGATCATACGTTTCCTGTAGGTCTTGACCAGGTTTGCACACAGTGCAGCAGGGATTTTGGCCCACTCCTCCATACAGACCTTCTCCAGATCCTTCAGGTTTTGGAGCTGTCGCTGGGCAATACGGACTTTCAGCTCCCTCCAAAGATGTTCTATTGGGTTCAGTTCTGGAGACTGGCTAGGCCACTCCAGGACCTTGAGATGCTTCTTACGGAGCCACTCCTTAGTTGCCCTGGCTGTGTGTTTCGGGTCGTTGTCATGCTGGAAGACCCAGCCACGACCCATCTTCAATGCTCTTACTGAGGGAAGGAGGTTGTTGGCCAAGATCTCGCGATACATGGCCCCATCCATCCTCCCCTCAATACGGTGCAGTCGTCCTGTCCCCTTTGCAGAAAAGCATCCCCAAAGAATGATGTTTCCACCTCCATGCTTCACGGTTGGGATGGTGTTCTTGGGGTTGTACTCATCCTTCTACTTCCTCCAAACACGGCGAGTGGAGTTTAGACCAAAAAGCTATATTTTTGACTCATCAGACCACATGACCTTCTCCCATTCCTCCTCTGGATCATCCAGATGGTCATTGGCAAACTTCAGACGGGCCTGGACATGCGCTGGCTTGAGCAGGGGGACCTTGCGTGCGCTGCAGGATTTTAATCCATGACGGCGTAGTGTGTTACTAATAGTTTTCTTTGAGACTGTGGTCCCAGCTCTCTTCAGGTCATTGACCAGGTCCTGCCGTGTAGTTCTGGGCTGATCCCTCACCTTCCTCATGATCATTGATGCCCCACGAGGTGAGATCTTGCATGGAGCCCCAGACCGAGGGTGATTGACCGTCATCTTGAACTTCTTCCATTTTCTAATAATTGCGCCAACAGTTGTTGCCTTCCTCACCAAGCTGCTTGCCTATTGTCCTGTAGCCCATCCCAGCCTTGTGCAGGTCTACAATTTTATCCCTGATGTCCTTACACAGCTCTCTGGTCTTGGCCATTGTGGAGAGGTTGGAGTCTGTTTGATTGAGTGTGTGGACAGGTGTCTTTTATACAAGTAACGAGTTCAAACAGGTGCAGTTAATACAGGTAATGAGTGGAGAACAGGAGGGCTTCTTAAAGAAAAACTAACAGGTCTGTGAGAGCCGGAATTCTTACTGGTTGGTAGGTGATCAAATACTTATGTCATGCAATAAAATGCAAATTAATTACTTAAAAATCATACAATGTGATTTTCTGGATTTTTGTTTTAGATTCCGTCTCTCACAGTTGAAGTGTACCTATGATAAAAAATTACAGACCTCTACATGCTTTGTAAGTAGGAAAACCTGCAAAATCGGCAGTGTATCAAATACTTGTTCTCCCCACTGTATGTTAATACCACAGGAGTCCTCTTACATTTGGGAACTTTACAGTGATCAAACAACCATGAAAAGGCAGGCTCTCTCTCTCCCTCAGTTATGCACATTAACAACATCAAAACATTATGCTAGCCAGAGCAAGATGTGCTAAAATCTAACGAAGGAACATTAGATAAACCTTCTCAAACTTTTTCAACTAGTTGGCTGTCAAAATTGCACTGATAAATGATAGGGAATTGTAGCCTACTCGTCCTTCTGCAGCTTGCCTGCACCCAAGCTAACTGGCTAAAGTTGGCTAGCTTGCTAGCTAGCTACTTCCAGACACAAATGAGAAAACACCTCACTCTGACCATTTTACTCACTGTAGCAGAGCTGGGTAGGCTGTTTACATGTTATCTAGAGCATTCGTGACTAACTATTACTTTTTTGCCCAACTTTACTGTCACCAGTCATCAGCGGGTGTTGCACGTTCGTAAATTCATCACTTATTCTACGCTCTGGAACACTCAGACGAGAGTGCTCTGAAATCGGAGTAGATAGCCAGAGTGAATTTGCGAACGCAAGAGATATACTAACTGGATAACAGTCGTTCAAGTTCTTGCTAGCTAACTAAATGACACCTGCATCTCTAGCTGTGTATAGCCACAGAAAAATGATATGAGGGGAAAAAGTCAGTCACTGACCCACTCCAATGACATGACATGACATCCTCCTAGCAGATAGCTATCTAGCTAATGTTAGGCTCCGTGTTTTTTTAGCTCGCTACATAAATAGATACGCTAGCCTATTAGCCACGTTATGACTGACTAGTTTGAATGTATTTACATTCCCAGCCTTACATCCGTCAGTTTTTGTCCAAAATATCTAGTCATTGAAACTGAAACAGTGCATCTCGAATTGAGGCAGCAAACAATGTACCAGGCCAGCTTTGATTTACAACCTGATAGCAATATTTATTGGACTACCAAGAAATGAATTGGTGAATTATATTAATCATGCATTGAACTGCATACATCTATTCTGCCAACAATGCCTTAGTGTATGTCATGGAATGTTGAGTCAAATAGAACCTATTTTTAAAACATAAAGTAGATTTTGTAGCATAAACTGGGAATTGTATATATTTGACTGATATTATGATTGTCTGTTTGTTTCATATCGCAAAGTAGTTAAAATGCTGTCATTTCCACTTTAAAGAACAGATTAAATATGTACCATGAACGTTCTTGCAACATCAGGTGAATGTTTTTTGCACCCTAAAAGAAACATTGCAGAATCATCCACACAACCTAATGAAACATTTTGGGTACCTTTAAAGAACAGGAAAAATGTGTTCTGGGAATGTTCTTGTAACATCATCAGCAGAATGTTTTTTGCACCCTAAAAGAAACATTGTTGAATCATCCACACAACTAGACAGTTTTTGTGTTTTGTGTATGTATCGTTTGTGATGTCCCCACAATGTTCTCAACAGACTGTTCCCACAATCTAATGAAACATTCTGGAAAACCTTTAAAGAATAGATTAAATGTGTTCTAGGAAAGTTTTTGCAACATCAGACGAATGTTTTATACAAACATTCTATAATCATCAGGACGACTGGACACTTTTTGTGTTATGAGAACATTTGCCGGACCTAACGAATGTTCAGGGAACTTTCACGGAACCAATTTTGGCTTGCTGGGAGTAGACTGGACTCACTGAACTCTATCCTGACCCTAAAGACTCATCATGCAATTAGCCTTTTTGACTTGACGTGTAGGCTATTGTACAGAGCAGCCACCCACTCTGCTGTGAACTGGACTAAGTTGTATCATACCAGCTAGTTATGCAGCTTGAATGAGAGAGGGACTGAGTTAATGTTCCTGTCAGACTGTACTGTGTGTCCCATCTCCTCCCAGTCCCTCAGACTATCTCATGTACCAGTTGGAGCCCAATGTTGATGTTTTTATGTGGGTGTTGCGCTATAGAGATGGACAAGTTGAAAATCCCCTGCTGATGGGAAAAACAAAGCGTAAAGATGCAACTCAGAAACATGAGAGGGGGGCGGAAGTAATAATCAGATATGTTTTTTATGTGTTCAATTAGAAATGTTTTGAAAGCTGGGGAGATGAGAGAGATGGATCTGGGATCTCACTGGCTGCCTGTGTGAGCTCCGTGAAGGAAGCAATTTCAGCTGCAAATTGGTTTCTCCCCCAGCATCACCACCAACCCAGACCCACACAGACACCACAAACACACACGCACGCAAGCATGCACACACACACACAGAAACGCACGCACACACACAAACACACACTCATGCCATAGGCACGTGTTCCTCCTCCTCACGTCTGCTCTGGTTGACTCTGCAAAAACACTGGCCACCCATCCTCACAGCAAAATATCTGTGTGTGTGTGTGTTTGTTTGTGTGTGTGTGTGTGTGTGTGTGTGTGTTTACAATTCAGCTGGGGGGAATACACACAACACAAACACACACGAGTAAAAACATCTACAGTGAACTCACTGACACACATACTGATGCTTGAGCGTCTCTTCCGTTGTCAGTGCAAAATTACCGTCTGTGAATTCAATTACAGACAAACCTCCAGATAGGCAGGCTGAAACAATGTATAAATACATGTCTGTCCTGCTTCCAGCTTCCCCAGACTCTGTTCTGCTATGCCAGCAACTGCTCTAATACCAACTAATCGGGGGGGAGAATTATATTACTGTAGGGCACTATCAGGAGTATTCATTGAACCATTTGGCTATGACTTTGTATAACATATTGATTGTGCTGATTCTACAGAGGAACAGTGTCTGCTCAGTCTCATCTTTCCTCTCCTTTCTCTCCTCCTCAGGGAAGAAGAACTCCATCCTAATGCACAAGGTTCAGCATGACCTCAATTCGGGCTTCTTCAACAACCGGGAGAACGAGATGATCCAGGAGATTGTGAAATATGACCGTGAGATGGTGCAGCAGGTGGACCTGCAGAGGCCCCGTGCCATGTCCATGTCCAACCCACCCACACATGGTGGCATCTTCACCCCCCCTGGCCCTCCCCAGAGCTCAGCCATCGCCACACTCCAGCAGGCTGTAGCCATGAGCTTCTGTCCCCCCATGGTAGGCCCTCTGGCAGGGGCTGGGGCCCTGCAGTCCCCCCGGATGGTGCGGAGGTTCCAGGTGATGCAGAGCGTATCCAGCCCAGTGCCAGCCTCCCCTCCCCCCCAGACCCAGCAGACCATGCATCCCCAGCTGCACGCCAGTGGTGCATTCGCCACGGTCCTCTCCAGCCCCCCCATCCAGAGCCCCCTAACTGCTGGGGGACGGACATTCCAGTACAGCCCCTCTTCTGGCTCCCAGCTCTCCCTGGTCCAGAAAGTCATGCCCAGCCCCACACACAGGCCCAACACCCATAACAGCACCCGGTCTCTGCACATGGGCAGTCTGAGTCAGGACGCCAGGGCACTGTCCGCCTCTCAGCCCTCCCTGCCCCAGGGAGGGGCTCAGCCCGTGGCCCCCTGCCCATCACAGTCCATCCGTGTCTCCTCCACCTCCATCGGGCCCCCTCATACCCACTCGGGCCCTGCAGGGGTCAGGAGCGCTGTGACTCTTAGGATGGTGCTTCCCCACCAGATGTCTGTGGGGGCGTTACCTCTAGCCTCCCTCCCGGGGACTGTTACATCTCTGGGGATGGGCATGGGGGTGGAAATGGGGGTGGGCATTGGGGTGGGCATGGGAGCAGGCATGGGGGCAGGCTTGGCGCCAGCCCTGCCAGACTCAGGATTACCCAGGAAGGACTCTATAGCCAGCCTCCCTGAGACAGACCGTGTCAGATCGAGGCTCTCTTCCAATTTGTGACCTTTATTAGATTTCTGCAGAGCCAGGGCTTTTTGGTTGTGGGAACTCTAAGGGTTTCTTCCTTCTAACCTATAATTCTCTCTCTCCCTGTCACGCGGGGCTAAATCTGACTATAAGAATGTATGCTGTGTGACTGCTGATGACAGGGGGAGAGAGACAGGAGCTGATAGAAAATGTATGACTAACAATATAAAGTCTGTATACAGAGTTATTATCAGAGGTGGGATGTTTCTACTCCATCCACAGACAGATACCGACTGTACGTAGAGGTATCACCTTCTCCCCACATCTCTTCTCCTTTATTTGCCATGTTTACTGTAACCGTATTCAACATACATAGCATCTGTCACCCACTATCTATATAGTCCAAACAATACAAACTGGCTGGGACAAGAAGAAAATCTGGGACCTACTTCAGATGACAACGATGACGTCCACACTTTGCAGAGGTGTTCTGGGATTTCCTCTTTTCTCTATGGACCGGCTTTAACACAAGTTCTACTCATGCCACTGTAATATTGTTTCAGAAAACAAGAAAATGCTAAATGTTTATTTTTTTTCACACAACATCTTAAATGAATGCATTCAAAGGCTATAAAGAGAATTGTTTGACATTTTTATTTTTTTCCCAGACCATAGTTGGGCTTCTACAAACACAATAGGGCCTGGGATTAATAATATATTACTGAAGAAAAGAAAACTATGATTGCAACATTTGAAGCCAAGTCCTTAGTCCATAAGAGTGTGTATGGGTATAAGTGTGACTATGAGAGATCTTCATAAGGAATGAATATTTATATAATATATTACTCATCCCCCTCTCTCAAATGGTCTTTGCAGAAGATGGTGTAGGTATATTTCCTTTTTTTGCCATGGAATCTACAGTATAATACATGACATAGGCTTACATTCCATTCTGGCTTTACCTTTTCAAAACACTACAGCTTGGGATCAAGTGATACAGTTTCAACCAGGTCATCTGTCCCATATGATGATGCATATGCATGTTGATATGAGTCACATAAATATAGCAACATATTGTATTTCAATAAATATGGAATTGGAATTGCATATCAGGTTATTTGCATAGCTAAAGTTTAGAATAGGTAGTTCATAGTTTGCTTTCTTTAAAAGATATCCAAGATAATAGTCTGGCTGAAGTTCTAAATGCACTGTGCAGCGTAATTGATGACGCTAATATCCAGACAGCATGTCCAGACAGAGATGTCCAGACATGCCCCGTGGTTAGATTGCATACATAATTCCATTGAATAAATACATTAAAATGTTTTATTGATAAGTTTCATCTCATCTGTATTGTCCATCCATTATAATACTTTTTTAGATTAATTGAAATTCTAAACAAATCTATTTTATTTTCCCTTTCCACTCAAACTCATACAGTAATATAGCATCTCATTAAGGTAGACTGGGTGTGCAATGTACAGTGGGGAAAAAAAGTATTTAGTCAGCCACCAATTGTGCAAGTTCTCCCACTTAAAAAGATGAGAGAGGCCTGTAATTTTCATCATAGGTACACGTCAACTATGACAGACAAACTGAGCATTTTTTTTCCAGAAAATCACATTGTAGGATTTTTAATGAATTTATTTGCAAATTATGGTGGAAAATAAGTATTTGGTCACCTACAAACAAGCAAGATTTCTGGCTCTCACAGACCTGTAACTTCTTCTTTAAGAGGCTCCTCTGTCCTCCACTCGTTACCTGTATTAATGGCACCTGTTTGAACTTGTTATCAGTATAAAAGACACCTGTCCACAACCTCAAACAGTCACACTCCAAACTCCACTATGGCCAAGACCAAAGAGCTGTCAAAGGACACCAGAAACAAAATTGTAGACCTGCACCAGGCTGGGAAGACTGAATCTGCAATAGGTAAGCAGCTTGGTTTGAAGAAATCAACTGTGGGAGCAATTATTAGGAAATGGAAGACATACAAGACCACTGATAATCTCCCTCGATCTGGGGCTCCACGCAAGATCTCACCCCGTGGGGTCAAAATGATCACAAGAACGGTGAGCAAAAATCCCAGAACCACACGGGGGGACCTAGTGAATGACCTGCAGAGAGCTGGGACCAAAGTAACAAAGCCTACCATCAGTAACACACTACGCCGCCAGGGACTCAAATCCTGCAGTGCCAGACGTGTCCCCCTGCTTAAGCCAGTACATGTCCAGGCCCGTCTGAAGTTTGCTAGAGTGCATTTGGATGAACCAGAAGAGGATTGGGAGAATGTCATATGGTCAGATGAAACCAAAATATAACTTTTTGGTAAAAACTCAACTCGTCGTGTTTGGAGGACAAAGAATGCTGAGTTGCATCCAAAGAACACCATACCTACTGTGAAGCATGGGGGTGGAAACATCATGCTTTGGGGCTGTTTTTCTGCAAAGGGACCAGGACGACTGATCTGTGTAAAGGAAAGAATGAATGGGGCCATGTATCGTGAGATTTTGAGTGAAAACCTCCTTCCATCAGCAAGGTCATTGAAGATGAAACGTGGCTGGGTCTTTCAGCATGACAATGATCCCAAACACACCACCCGGGCAACGAAGGAGTGGCTTCGTAAGAAGCATTTCAAGGTCCTGGAGTGGCCTAGCCAGTCTCCAGATCTCAACCCTATAGAAAATCTTTGGAGGGAGATAGCCCCAAAACATCACTGCTCTAGAGGAGATCTGCATGGAGGAATGGGCCAAAATACCTGCAACAGTGTGTGAAAACCTTGTGAAGACTTACAGAAAACGTTTGACCTGTGTCATTGCCAACAAAGGGTATATAACAAAGTATTGAGAAACTTTTGTTATTGACCAAATACTTATTTTCCACCATAATTTGCAAATAAATTCATTAAAAATCCTACAATGTGATTTTCTGGAAAAATTCTCATTTTGTCTGTCATAGTTGACGTGTACCTATGATGAAAATTACAGGCCTCTCGCATCTTTTTAAGTGGGAGAACTTGCACAATTGGTGGCTGACTAAATACTTTTTTCCCCACTGTACATAATGCTTCTGCAATGCTCCCATCTAAATGCTCCCATTCTATTCTAATCTGCAGCAAGGGCAGTGCGGACATTTTGGAGGCTGCATTGTGATGTGTTTCCTACCACAAGTGATGCCACTGAATGTGTTTATCGGCCTGAGCGGCCTCCACTGATTAGTGTCCAAAAGCATTAGAGGAAGAGGCTTCCAAAGCCCCAATATCCAATATATCTGCAGCTCAACCCCCCCACCCCACTCCCCCTCCCACCCGCCCCACCCCGCCATTGCTATGTAATGAGAGAGAAGATTGGACACCCTCAGGCCCCATTTATTTTTGACTGTTATTACTTTCGTCATGAGTTTTACTGTATCATTCACCTTGAGGGTGGTGAAAGACAGTACTACAAGGTTGTGGGGTAGGAAATAATTTGTTGCTGGAAATGATGCCCAGTGAAACTTCTTTGGGAACTTTCATGTGTTTTAAGGTGAGGTACAGTGCCTTCAGAAAGTATTCACACCCCTTGACTTATTCCACATTTAGTTGTGTTACAGCCTGAATTCAAAACAGATTTAATACAGTAGATTGTTTTCTCCCCCTTCTACACACAATACCCCATAATGACAAAGTAAAAACATGTTTTCAGAAATGTTAGCAAATTTATTGAAAATGAAATACGGAAATATCTCATTTACATAAGTATTCACACCCCTGAGTCAGTCAATACTTTATAGAAGCACCTTTGGCAGCGATTACAGCTGTGAGTCTGTCTGGGTAAATCTCTATGAGCTTTCCACACCTGGATTGTGCAACATTTACCCATTATTATTTTCAAAATTCTTCAAGCTCTGTCAAATTGGTTGTTGATCATTGCTAGATAATCATTTTCAGGTCTTGCCATAGATTTTCAAGTAGATCTAAGTCAAAACTGTAATTCGGCCTCAGGAATATTCCCTGTCTTCTTAGTAAGCAACTCCAGTGTAGATTTGGCCTTGTGTTTAAGGTTATTGTCCTGCTGAAAGGTGAATTCCTCTCCCAGTGTCTGGTGGAAAGCAAACTGAACCAGGCTTTCCTCTACAATTTTGCCCTATGCTTAGCTCCATTCCGTTTCTTTTTTATCCTGAAAAACTCCACAGTCCTTAATGATTACAAGCATACCCATAACATGGAGAGTGGTACTCAGTAATGTGCTGTAATGGATTTGCCCCAAACATAACACTTTGTATTGTGTGTAGGCCAGTGAGACATTTTTTCATTTAAAATTCAGGCTGTAACACAACAAGATGTGGAAAAGGTCAAGGGGTGTGAATACTTTCTGAAGGCACTGTAGATTGTTTTAATGGCTGAATTCTGGCCAGACTATTTGACTAGCAATAAATGAGGAACTTTTACAAAATATCTATGAATACAATTCCATAAGATGTTGTTGAATGTTGAAATGCTGATTGTTTGTTTTTGGGAAACGTTTCTTAAATGTACAGTACCAGTCAAAAGTTTGGACACACCTACTCATTCCAGGGTTTTTCTTTATTTTTACTATTTTCTACATTGTAGAATAATAGTGAAGACATCAAAACTATGAAATAACACAAATGGAATCATGTAGTAACCAAAAAAGTGTTAAACAAATCAAAATATATTTTTTATTTGAGATGCTTCAAATAGCCACCCTTTGCCTTGGTGACAGCTTTGCACACTCTTGGCATAACAGTTATCCTCTCCAATAGCTAATATTGCTGTCATGTGTTTAGCCTTTTCCCAACATCTTTCTTGGGATGTTTCCTTGCCAAATTGTGAATTTAATGGTAACTTGAATAAATATATGAAGCAATAACAAGTGGAATAAGAAAGAGTTCTTGATGTTTTTGTTTACATTTCCAGGGAGAGACTTTGAAATAACTTTAAGCCCTGAGACTTACAGTAGATTAACTGTACATATGGGTCATATTCTATAACAATTAGTAGATTTTTAGTTCTATTCAGAGGAACTGAAATTATT